AAGAGTATTTGTTTTTAAGGCCCTGGATCTTCAATGATTAATTTAGGAACATTTTTCAACTCTGACATCCAGGTAAATAACAATATATCAAGGAATATAAATATCTAGGTAGACACAACCTCGATCGGAAATGCTCAAAAATAAAGACCATCTAAACTAACTGATAGACCAACTTAACATTCTCCTTGGACACTATGCTCCTTTATCCATTTTAACAATTACAGAGATTACCACCACCCTAAAGGAAAAGGTGAAAATATTATTCAAATACATATGAAGAGGCCCCAGCCTCATCCACAGAAGTTCACCAACAATCTTGATTCATTACTATATGTCAGAAGCAAAGGAAGAAGCTAAAAGTGAAGCCCTTTGACCTACTTTGAAAATAACTTATAAGTAGTACACAGCCTAATTACTCAGTATAAAGATTTAAAACTCCGTTAAAGTGGTTGTCTTTAGAAACCATATAGGAGAAAGGAGACAACTTTGTATAGACAATAAGGAATATGAGTATTGTAGACTTGTTCTTTATACCCAAATATAGAAGATCCTAGAAAATCTAAGCTTCACCTTTCTAACTGCTGTCCCATTAATCACAGCCAAATCCCCACTGTTCCTTATATACTCTATTCCCTTAGATCTTTTCTACGCCATTTGCTGCTTTGCTTTGCTTTTTCAAGTTACTCTAACAAGATCTATTATAGCCCCATGTGATTTCCACAAGGGACCTCTGCCCTACACAGATGTCCAAAAGAACATACTTTTACTTACCTTTAATCGTCTCACCATCTCCTCTTTAGATATTTTATCTGAGATTTCCTTGACCCCAGGCGGGTATGTAATTTTTCCATCATTGGTCCTAGTCTTTGAATGAGCCATGACAGAAATATTTCTACCCCTAAAACAAGAAAACTATTAGATGCAAACCAAAAAATAGATACAAACATTCTTAACAAACATAAATGGTAACCTTCCCCACCAACCAAAATTTATAACTACCTCCTAATTTACAGTAATTTACCATTTAATGAAAATCACTCTATTGAACATTTCCCAAAATTATTTTTAGAAAACAAAACTTATTTTTACTTTCATTTCCTCAGTGGCAAGCTTTGTTATTTGCCCTAACCCTCCAACTAAAAATAATAATAGTAAGCTAGAGAAAAAGAATAAAAAATAAATACTTTTTAAAAGCACCACAAAGTACTCAAACTAAAACCTAAGAGAAAACAGGAATCCAGGGAAGTAAGTGGGAACAACTGGGACATTATAGCTACTTACACTCTGAAAGCATCTGTCAATTCTGACAAATGTAGGATTCAGTTTTGATGGTCTTATAGGGCCAGGGGAACAGAAGTGTATCTGCACCTATTAAGGCAGACAGTCAAAGAGGAAACTCTCCTGACATAATGTAGGCCACCACCCTACCCAAAGAAGATATACCTGCAAAGGAGAAGGTAAACTAGAAATGAACACCTCCTTCCCCAGCCCCACCTGCCTAGAGGGAACCGCTGAGAAGGCTGCTTTGGTGCCAAACAGAGAAGGGCAACACGAATACAGGGAAGGAACAGGTAATTAGTTTTGGCCATGTGCCTGCACACTTGTTGGGGTTGACATGACCTAAGTGGCCCAGAGAATCTCAAAACATGCACTCAAGAGACTCCCAGTTAATACAGTCGCAAGCACCTAACATAAGTAAATCCAAGTCCTGCCTAGAGAAGGGTGCCTTCATCCTAAATATCAAAGAATCCCCACTATGATGTTTCTAGAACAATGAGCAGTATCAAGTCAAAAATAACCAAGCAACTATGAGGGAGAACAGGCAGAAATACCAGATAACAGAAAGAGACTCACAATTTTTGATAGTATAACTATCAAAGATTGTAGAACTATTATAATCTTAAAGAAATAAAAGACAATTCCAAAAATATCTACAGGAAAAAAAAATTATAAAGACTAAACTAGAAGATTTTTTAAAAATAGAACTTCTAAAAATGAAAAAATACAATTACTGAAATTGAAAACTCAACAGGTCAATGTATTCGCAGATATGAAAAACCATTAAAGGCCAGGTGGGATTGCTCACGCCTGTAATCCCAGCACTTTTGGAGGCTGAGGCAGGCAGATAACTTGAGCTCCAACGTTTAAGACCAGCCTGGGCAACATGGCAAAACCCCATCTCTACAAAAAATACAAAAATCAGCCAGGTGTGGTGGCACACCCCTGTAGTCCCAGCTCCTCAGGAGGTTGCAGTAGGAGAACTGCTTGAACTCAGGAGGTGGTGGTTGCAGTGAGCTGAGATTGCGCCACTACGTTCCACCTGCATCAAAAAAAAAAAAAAAAATGAAGTGAAAGAAAGGTCAGAAGAAATTATCCGGAGTGCAACACAGTGAAACATACAACTGAAATACGTAAGGATAGAAAGGCCTAAATGTAGCCTACAATTCATGGAAGTTATAGAGGGAGAAGAATGAGAGATTCATTCATGGGATTCATGAGAGTACCAGAAGGACTAGATTGAAGCAGAGGTCAAATACCTACAGAGAATATCATAAAATACCAACCTACAACATCATACACTGGGGCCTATCATGGGGAGGGGGGAGGGGGGAGGGATTGCATTGGGAGTTACACCTGATGTAAATGACGGGTTGATGGGTGCAGCACACCAACATGGCACAAGTATACATATGTAACAAACCTGCACGTTATGCACATGTACCCTAGAACTTAAAGTATAATAATAATAAAAAAAAAGAAAAAAAGAAAAAAAATACCAACCTACAAATTCAATAAGCCCAACAGGATTAAATTTAAAATAATCATAACTCCAGAAAACAAATAAAATTTAGAGCACACACAGTACCTTGAAAGGAATAGCATATAAACTAACAGGTGACTTCTCAACATCAACAACGTAAGCCAGAAGACAGCAAAATGTTATCTTCAAAGCGGAGAAAGAATATAATTGCAAATCTAAAGTTTACAACCAAGGAGTATAATTTTTAAGTACAGAGTAAAACAAGGACAAATTAGCCAAATGAAAACTAAGAGGTGTATTTGTATATAAAGTACCTACAATATTGTTTAGCACACACTAAGTACTATATGTGTATGTAATATACACAATCAGGTTAAAAGAAAAAGATTTTTAAATTTCAATATAAACACCTTAAAAGACAATGAAAAATGTGGATATATGCTGAAAGTAAAAGGATGGAAAAATATGTCATGCAAACACTAAAACCAGTTAAGCTAAACATCAAGTTAAAAAAAAAAAAAAAAGATAAATAGGCCCCAGATTCACTCTGTGGTATTTACTCAATAGGAACGTATAGTTTGTCCACCATAAGACATATAAAAAAATGTTCATAGCAATACCATTCAGTTGCCAAAACAGAAAACACAATGACCATCAACACTAGAATTAATAGCAACTTGTAGTATAGTCACACAAATGGGAAAAAAAAAAAAAAAAAAACCAGCCGTGAGAGTGAATAAACCATTGCCTCACACAATAATATGGATTAACATTACAAACATCTGGATGGGCATGATGTTTCACACCTGTAATCCCAACATTTGGGAAGGCTAAGGCAGGTGGATCACTTGAGCCCAGGAGTTCAAGAACAGCCTGGGCAATACAGTGAGACCTCAACTATACAAAAAATAAAGATAAATTAGCCAAGCCTAGTGGTGTGCACCTGTGGTCCCAGCTACCCGGGAAGCTGAGGTGAAAGTCCTGCTTAAGCCCAGGAAGTCAAAGCCACAGTAAGCCAAGATCACACCAGTGCACTCAAGCTTGAGTGACAGAGCAGACCCTATCTCAACACACACCACACACCCACACACCCACACACGCACCCACACACACACACACACCAAAGTGAAAGAAGCCAGACAAAAAACACTACATAAGAGTATGATTACATTTTTATAAGCTCAAAAACAGAGAAACCTAATCTATGATGGTAAAAGTCAGGACAGTGATGTTTTGGGGGACAAACGTTAACGGAAGGAGGGGTGAAAAGACACTTCGGAGATGCTAGTTACCCAAGTGTTTTCACTTTGTGTAAAGTCATAGAGCTAAAGACATAGTTTTGCACTTTTCTGAATGTATGTTACTTTACACTTCAACAAAAAGTTTAACAAAACAGGTAACAAGAAAAGCTCCAGACATTTAAATTTTTTAAAGCACTTCTTAATAATCAATGAATCAAAAGAACACAAGCGTAGGATCAACAAAGTCAAAAAATCACAGGCCAATCTTATAAATTTGACAATATAACATTTGAAAATGTAGATAAAACTGAGAAACTACATCTTATTACCAAAATTAACTCAAGAAAGAAAAAAAGAAAAAAGAAAAAAAGATTAAGAAAAAAAAATCAATCAACAGATCTTTCCACAAGGAAAAATATCCAAGTCTAGATGGCTTTACTCGTGAGTCCTGCCAAATAAAGGAAGAAATATTTCCCATGTCATACAAATAGTTCCAAGAAATGAAAAACAAGGGAATCCTTCCCAACTAATTTTAAGCAACTAATTAGCATAACTCTGACAACAAAACCCAATGAGAACAATCACAGGCCAGGCACAATGGCTCCTGTCTGTGATCCCAGCACTTTGGGAGGCTGACGCAGGAAGACTGCTTAAAGCCAGGAGTTCAATACCAGCCAGGGCAACAAAGCGAGACCTTGCCTCTACAAAAAAATTAAAATGAATAAAAAATTAGCCAAGCTGAGGTGACAGGATCACTTGAGCCCAGGAGTTCAAGGATGCAGTGAGCTATGATTGCGCCACTACACTCCAGCCTAGGCAACAGAGTGAGAGTCCATATCTGAAACAAGGAAAACAGAAAAGAACAATCACAGAAAATAAATCACAGAAAGGAAAACAGAAAAGAACAATCACAGAAAATAAATCACAGACAATCTTAATCATAAATGCAAAACTCCTAAACAAAACATTAGGAAACCAAATGCAGCAATATATTCTTAAGTGTTTATCCTGGGAAGGCAAGGTTAAATTCATCACAGCAACAGGCTTAAAAAGAAAATCACATTTAAATTATATACTAAACTGATTTTTTTCAAATCTCAATAAATTAAGAAAAATTTGGTAAAATTCAACAACTCATGACTGTAAAACAAAAACGAAACAAGAAACAAGTTTAGTAAACTAAGAACTGGGTGAAAGTTTCCTTTATCTGAGAAGAGTAGGGTGCTATAAACACCCTACAGCATAAATAATGTTTATTGACAATCCACTGAAAGCTTTGTGTTCAGGAACTACAGGAACATACCTACTATCGTCCCTTTTTTAAAAATTTGACACTGCAATAAAGATGCTAATCAACAAAGAAGGTGAAGAAAAAGAAATAAAGGGTATAAGGATTTAAAATGAACCAGTCATTATTCACAGATATGTTTATGTACATAAAAACTTCAAAAGGATTTACAGATAAAACATGTGAATTATTAAGACTGAGTTTAGCAAGGATGAAAAGTAAAAACATCAATATACAGATGTTCCTCAACTTACAGTAAGGTTAGGTCCCAATAAACCCACTGTAAATTTAAAATATCATTAAGCCAAAAGTGCATTTCTATCATATGTCAAGAAGCATACCAAATGTGTACTGCTTTCACACCATCATAAAGTCAAAAAATTGTAAGCCAAATCATCATAAGTCAGGGACATTCAGAACAAGCATAAGTCACCAACAGGTAACAACAGGTAACACAAATACTTAATGGTAAAAGACTAAATGCTTCCCCTTTAAGATCAGAAACAGAGAAAGGATGTCTACTCCTAGCACTTTTATTCAACATAATGCTAGAAGCCCTAGGCAGCACACAAAGAAACAGAAAATAAAAAGCATACATATTGGA